GSMACSGGCGGGGATGCTCGTCGGAAATTTCCAAAATGACCCCTAAAAGATACCCGAGTCTTACAAAGGTKRGMGTGGCAGAATAAGATTTCTACCCCTAAAAGATACCAGCTGAAATTAAACAAATTTATAGGGTTTTTTTGGCATTTTTATTAGTTCCAAAGACAAGCGTTACTAGCAATATAGTTATTAACATAAAAAAAATTAAGAACATAGATTATTAAAAAAATACCCTAAAAATGACCCAAAAATATTTTAGACACGCTAAAAGATACCAGATATGGGAATCCCGCCCTYCCCCGGACGCGCATACTGAGTGCGCTCTACGCTTTTGCTTGTGATTTCCTGTGACTTTTTTAACATGAAAAAAACAGCGTAAAGCGAGATGGCAAATGTGATTATAAAAATAGCATCAAACTGTTACAAGCATAAACACCAGAGATTCCCTCTCTTATTTCATTTTCTCATGGCTATAGTATTAGCTTAGTGGGTTACGGCCCCTCTGTGTGCGCTGGAGACAATACGAGAATATTCTGAAGCAATCCGGGCAGTTTCCTGTTTGGTGCTGTCCATCATGCTTTTCGTGCCTTCATGACATCAGCGCTTAACTAGTTCAGAAGACAGAAGAAGGGAAAAAAACCAATTATAAGTCATTCAGCATTTTTGTCATAGGACAATAAGTTTGCCAAGTTTGATTATTGTAGATTATTATAGAAAACAAATTATCGAGCACGAATTAAGTAGGAATCAATTTAAAAAAAGTAGGTCTGTTTGCTCTTCTGAGTGTTATTTCTAGGATTACTGGAATAGGCTTGACATTTTGGTTCCACGTCTCAAAGGAGAACAGAAAAGCGTGTCAAAGTTAAACAGAATCAATTGATCGGTAAGCAAGAAACGTGTTCTCGGAACCRAAATGTCAGTCCTAATGGTTTGCTTGAGATTAAGGTCGACAKCTCWRCACGTGGATTTGTTGGCCATCTGAGCAAACMTTCTATTCACTTTTGACATCTCTAAAGCTTTTGTTCTCTGATAGTACTGCATAATCGKGTGTGTCAACAGTTTGTTGACGTCCCAACTTTAGTCTCAATAATCTCTTTTATTTTTAATTGTTTCAAACTTAAATCATCCTCAGGTGGTAATTAGTTAAGTTAAGTATATAGCGACTCCTATATGATCTATGCGATTTAGAATTGAGTAAATCAGAAATTTGGGTTAGTTCAAATTCCTCCTCGGGAATTGGGAACTAGCTCATTAACTCCTCTGAGTCGCATTGACCAATCACAGTTAGCGTCAGGTCATTATCGGCTTGACRTCACTTTCAATAGACCACAACTAATACTTAAGTGCTTGTAACACACAATGTAAGACAGACGAAGTAAGACAGACGAAGAGAGAAGCAAGTAAGAGCGAAGTAGAGCAAAGAATTAACAACACAACTACCACCCGTGTAAGAGAACACAACCGAAGCGAATAAAAGTCAGTAAAGAAAGTTGGTGAAAGACTCCTTGTGATTACGTGGGATCGAGCTAGTCCGATCCAYCCCATCCCATCCAGTGTAAGGGAAAAACCTTCCACGTCACATTTTGGTGAGTGAGGGAGGAGGAGGGGAAGGGTGCTCGTAAAAAAAGTCGAAATATCTGGGAAACTTTCAAGAGATCTCTCTACCTTGGGCATAATGTTGGGCCTGTTGCAGACCACGTGTCATTTTCTAGACCTCTCCCCTTTACATTGCAAGCGAGAATATTTCTGAAGTACCCTCTTTTGACAAGTTTAATCTACTGAGCCAAGACGATGTCCGGAAAGTCATTGAGGCAACGACCAAAAGGTCTTGCTTGCTCGACCCTATACCAGCAACACTTGAAATCGGCTGTATCGATGTTTCGGTTGCCGGTAATTACAAAGATCATTAATATATCGCTACAGACTGGAGAATTTGCTGATCAATGGAAATGTGCATTGGTTCATCCGTTACTCAAGAAGCCCGGGCTYGATTTGATACTCAAGAACTATCGCCCTGTAAGTAACCTGCAGTACATTTCTAAGCTTACGGTGAAGGCTGTTTTCCAACAAACGCATGGCCACATGGTAATCAACTCGTTATATCCTGAWCTTCAGTCRTMGAACCGCCAACACCACAGTACGGAAACAGCSTTGCTGAAAGTGATGAACGATGTTCTATTRMACATGAACTCTCAGTATGTCACACTTATGGTGTTGCTCGATCTCAGTGCGGCCTTTGACACCGTCAACTACGACATTCTGTTGGAGAGGCCTGAGAAGGACATTGGAATGCGCGGCGTTACACACTTGACTGGTTTCGTTCATATCTCTCTAATCTGACAAGTCTGTATTACATTATTTTTATCATAAAACTAATCATCGTCATCCATTATTATCATATTCTTTGTCACGAGGATTTACAGTATTTTGTGGGGGTTTTTTCTTTGCCCAGAATTTCACCACGTGGGTTTTTTCAAGGAAAGTGAATGAGGCGACGACTCCGCATTCCCTATCTACGCTGGAGATTTATCTACCAAAGAATGTTCTGTGTTTGCCGTTACGAATGATTTCAAGGCGTTTAGTATGCAAAACGAGGGCGAGTGCTGGGTAGGACCCGTCGAAGGATATAAGGAAGAGGTGTACAAAAATCATGGAACTGACTCCAGTTTTACAGGTGGGTTAGGGAGTGAATTGACTWTTAATGTGTACATCATTGATGGTGAGTTGTAAGACATATACCTTTGATAAACACTAAATCCGATATACATATTTCAATAAAATTAGTCACCTGAAAAGATATAAAGCTAAGGCCGACAAGGATTAT